ATTAAAAAGTAGTCTGGCTTTGGTGGAGCACACCTTTAATCTTAGAACTTGGGAGGCAGAGGCAGAAGGATCTAGCTCTGCGAGTTTTAAGGACAACAGCCAGCACTCTAAAGAGAGACCCTGTCTCTATAAACAAACAAACAAACAAACAAACAAAATAGCTGGTGTGGCAGTGCACACCTTTAATCTTTGTGATTATGGGAGGCAGAGGCAGACAGATCTCTGTGAGTTCAAGGACAGCCTGGCTGACACAGTCAGTTCCAGCACAGCCAGGGCTACATAATGAGAGCCTGTCTTTAAAAAACAAAATTTAAATGAAGCAAAAAGTCAGAATTCTAGCTGACTGTAGTGTATGCCTATAATTCCAGTATTTGGGAGGTGGAGGCAGGAAGATCAGAAGTTCAAGGTCATCTTTGGCAGAACCTTGGTTTAAAAATATGCACTTATGTGTTCAGGCTATGAAACTAAAAAAAGGGATCATGAAGGGGAGGGAAAGTCCTCAGTGGAGGTGAGAAATGGCACAGTGGACGTGGAGAGCAGAAGTGAGGACTAACTAGAAGAATGGGAACCCATGAGGTAGAAGGCTGGTCCAGGGAGGGCAGTGGAGAATAAAGGAACCTGACACATGTGTGAAGACATGCTGATGAAACGTATCGTTTTGTAGGTTAGCCCAATTCAATAGTTAGAAACAAAACAACTGGAGGGGCGATGATAGAATAATTAGAATGAATTTTGGATTAGCCTGTGCTAATTAGATGGGGGGGGCATTGGCACTTCCAGACCTGTAGAGGGTATGGACTTCCTTCCTGCTGTCTTTAGCTCCTCTGGCTTCTTTGATGTTTGCTTACCCAGCAAATTTCTCAGGGGGTGTCACGCCACTACTCCAGACACTGGAAAGTTCTATATCTACAGACAAAATGAATAACCCCTGCTTCCTAAGTCCTTTATGAATTTGGACAGGGAAAGAGAATCAGCCACTCCTCAGGAGAGATGCCTTGAAGGGGCTGAGTGATGCGCGCAGTTTCATCTGTGCAATGCAATGAACATCTCTTTCATTGTATTCACTTATTTATTTAAAGATTTATTTATTTATGCACACAGTGTTCTGTCTGCATGTATCCCTGCAGGCCAAAAGAGGACACCAGATCTCATTATAGATGGTTGTGAGCCATCATGTGGTTGTTCAGAATTGAACTCAGGACCTCTGGAAGACTAGCAAGTGTTCTTAACTACTGAGTCATCGCTCCAGCACCTTTTTTTTTTTTTTTTTTTTTTTCATTTTATTGAGCTTGAGTCCTGGCATGTAGTCTGAGTCTCCTGAGAGCTGGGATTATAGATGTGTGTAACCACAGCTGGATTGCAATTAACCTTTTTTTCCCCTCAACTTTTTATTCTTTGTGGATTTCACATTATGCATCCTGATCCCACTCATCTCCCCACCCCCTCAAATCTGTTCTTTGGCCTTGCAACCTTCCCCTCCTCCCAAACAAACCAAAAGGCTTAAAGGAAAAAAAAATCTCAGTGTGGAAGCTGCAGTGGCACACATCTCTACCTGCAAGTGTGCATTGTCACTAACCACTGGTCTGGTTCGAGGCCTCTGGCTTCTGCTGCCCTATGGATGCTGGGCCCTCACTGGGACTCCTCTTGGATATCCTGTTGTACCATGTCATGGAGATCCTGCAGTTTTGGGTCCACAGGTCTGGTCTCTGCACATGCTCCTGCAGTTCTCAGATGAGTAGCTGGGTTGGTCAGCCCACCAGCTTTTCCTTGTTGTCACCACCAGGAGACCCCTCCAGTACTACCCCAGCTAGCTCAGCCAGTGCAGGCGGCAGCAAGGCACAGGGCCAGTTCTGCTCTCACAGTCGTGGGTCCAGCTCACTCTTACTTAACACACCAGTGTCGGCTCTACTGTTTTTCCCAGTGAGGTGCTGGCCCCTCTCTCAATCGCTGTAGGGGACTACAAGGGGGATGGGGTCAGTGCTCCTGTTTTCATGCCCTCAGGGCCAGCTCACCTGCATCCCTGTCAACAGGGTCAGCTCTAGTGTACTGCCCAGGTGAGAGGTGTAGGGTCTCTTTCTTGAGTGCTGCAGCCAGGGAGGGGCAGGGCTAGCTTTCCCACTCTTATGGCCAGGGGCGAGCTCTCCTATCTGCCTCAAGTGGCAAGGGGTGAGGCAGGGAGGGCATCTTCCCTTCACCCATGCCACAATATGGCAGATGAGGAGTGGGGCCAGATTTCCCATGCACAGTTGTGGATCACACGTGCCCCTTGGCAACAGGATCAACTCTACTGTGCTGCCCAGGTGAGGTGCTTCAGTGGGTGAGGGGCAGAGACAGTGCTGCAAACAGTGAGGGGCAGGGCCAACACTGTGCATCCCTATCCTCGTTGCCTTCAGTCGTAATAGGAGCCACACACTTTGACACAGATTATACGTGCAGCAGGGCCACAGATCCAGCAGTAGCCCAAGGTCCAGACAACACCATGGTCCCTGGTGACGGTGCAGGCCACTCAGATCTGTATGGCCTCAGCAAAGGCATAGCCCTTGTACACTAATATGGCCTTAAGTGGTAGCTAGGATTAAAGGCATGTGCCACCATGCCTGGCTCCCTTTGGGATTTATTTTTATTTTTATGTGTCTGAGTATTTTGCCTGGGTGTATGTGTGTGTACTGTATGCATGGCTAGTGATTACAGAGGCCAGAAGAGGGCACTGGATCCCCTGGAACCGGAGTTGTAGATAGTTGTGATCCACCATTTGGGTGCTGGGAACCAAAGCTAGGACCTCTGCAAGAAGATCCAGAACTCTTAACCTCCGAGGTCTCTCTCCAGCCCCATCAACCACTGATTTTAAGCAGGTCCTTCACTGATCTCTCCTCGGTTTTCTAGTGTGTAGGTGCCTTAGTCACTGTTCTTTCTATTGCTATGGAGAAACACCATGACCAAGGCAACTCTTATAAAGGAAAGCATTTAATTGGGGCTGGCTTACAGTTTATTGTTATGGCTTGGAATGTGGCAGCAGGAAGCACGGTGGCAGGCTGGTGTTCTGCTGGAGAAGTAGCTGAGTTACAATCTTTCTGAAAGCAAGGAGAGAGAGAGAGAGAGAGAGAGAGAGAGAGAGACAGACAGACAGACAGACAGACAGACACTGGGCCTGGTATAGGCTTTTGAAACTTCAAAGCCCACCCCCATTGACACACTACCTCCAACAAAGCCCCACCTCTTATCTCTAACAGTGCCACTCCTTAATGACTGAACACTCAAATATATGGGCTTATGGATGCCATTCTTATTCCAACCATCACTGTAGATGATGTGCCCAGAACTTGGAGACCTCAGCATTCTCTTGGACCTCCAGGGTCATAAAAATCTCAAGGTCATGTCCCCTTTGTGGAACTTATGTAGATGCTAATGCCGGGCTAATTTTAGCTCCTTCAGGGTCTGTTCTTGCTAGACTACAGGCTAGCAGGGCTCTGACACTGTCATTCAGTAGACATGTGATACTTTTTGGCTTTGACTCAGGGTCTCACAAATTAGTTCAGGCTGGACTTGAATTCACAATTCAGCACCCCTGAGTGCTAGAGTTATGGACATGCTGGACCAGTCTGGGCTACTTGAAACTGAACAAAAAGCTGGAGACAATAGGAACAAAGGGCTTTAAAAACAGCACCTTGGAGGCTGGCCATGGTGGAACATGCCTTTAAACCCGGCAGGCAGATCTCTGTGAGTTTGAGGCCAGCCTGGTCTATAAAAAATGAGTTCTGGGACAGCTAGAGCTGTTTCACAGAGAAACCCTGTCCAGAAAAACAAATAAAACAAAACAAAAACCCAGTACCTTGGTGGCTGGAGAGCTGGGTCATTAGTTAAGATTACTTGTTATTCTTGCATACGCTCCAAATCCGGCTCTTAGCACCCATGTAGTAGGGTTCACAGCTACCTGTAACTCTGTACACTTGCACATATAAACTCATCTTTAACAAGAAAGCAAATGAAGCCAGGCAGTGGTGGTGCATGTCTTTAATCCCAGCACTCCGGAGGCAGAGGCAGGTGGATCTCTGTGGGTTCCAGGCCAGTCTGGTCTACAGTGCGAGTTCCAGGACAGCCAAGGATACATAGAGAAACCCTGCCTCAACTCCTCATCCTCCTACCCCTACAAAAGAAAGAGTATCAGCTCCCCTGGAACTGGAGTTAAGGATCGTTGTCCACCACCCTGTGGTGCTGGGAATCAAACCTGAGTCCTCTGTAACATCCGCCAGTGCTCTTAACCACTGAGTCATCTCTCCAACTCCAGGTGTGCACCTTTAAGAAGACTGTCACTCTTTCTTCCACCAATTAATTAATTAATTAATTAATTTATCCGTCCATCCATCTCCAGGCCTGAGTCCACATTTCTGGTACTTTGCCTTCTCTAAGCCACGGTACATAGCACTCTCTGGTATCTGCTAAGTGACAACACTGGGGACAGTTTCCGCTCAGGGTTCCTCTAAGAACATATTCAAACACTGGCCATTTCACTATGAATTAAGGCCCAGGGTGGTAGGAGTTGCCCAAGATCTCATGGAGGGTGTTTTAGTCATGGTTCTACAGAAACAGTCCAGAAATAACACTTTGATAAAGAGGTTATTTGTGGTTGATGGTTGAGTTCAGCTTGTTCTGTCGTTGCCCTTGGGAATTCCCTCCCTTCTGGTCTAATCTAGAAAACTGTGGGCATGGAGTTCACCCCTGTGCCTCTCCATATCCAAGTCCCTTTCTGTATCATTGCTTTTCAGCGGCTGCCCTCAGCCTATCCTTTGAGCTCTGCAGGGCGTTTCCTGATGGCTTCACCCCAGCTTCTAAGACATCCTGGTTAACTTCCCTTAGTGCTCTGCTCCTACAATCGTCCTTGCTTTGGTCCGCCTTCCCCTCTTGGTTTCAGCACTCTGCAGGACATCTGGAAGCTGGGCAGGTGCTCAGTACTCTGAGGACATCGACAGAAAGGCAGGTGACAAGGGACATAGCACAAACCATTTTCAAGAAAGTCTGGAGGTTTATTGAAAATCACAGTCACAACTGAACATGGTAAGTTGTCCTTCACAAGGCTCACTCTTCTAGGCAGGAGGGATGAGCAGTTTTGGGCTTTCCCCATGGAATCCCTGTCTCATTTCCCAGCTTCCCTGCTTGCAGTCCCTCCCCTGGGGACCGGGTCTTCTAGCCAGTCACAGAGCAGAGTGGAACATGTTAAAAATCTTTAAACCTGGGACCACTCTCACCCAATGTTGGTAGCAGGGCTCTGACTTTGTCCCCTTCACTCTGTCTTTAGAAAACTACAAACACAATGCCTCCTGGGCACTGAATGTATTCTGCCTAATCTGGAAGACTGCCAAAGCCAAGAGACTGTGCTTCTCATCTATGCACAGGAACAAGAGTGACAGGAAGGTCTGAAGAGGTACCATGATGCTGAGTTTGGAGAGCCACTAGCCCGCCTGCTGCCTCAAGAGAAGACCTATCATTCCCGGCTGCTTTCAAAGCCAGAAGTTCCAGTTGGCAGGAGAGGGTAAGACAGCTTGCCACACAGAGGCCTTAGCCTCACAGCAAGGACACTTCACATTCCAAAAATGCTTCTGGAATCTTCTGGGTGGAGGGGTTGTGGGGGAGGCTGCCTTTCCAACCTCATCTTGTTTTGTGATCTAGGCCTCTGAATGAAGTGTTGGGGGAAAAGGGGCCAGCTGCCTGGCCTGTCACTTGGCCAGTGGCATGTCCACAGGTCCTTGTGCCTGTGTGGACTACCAGCTGAGTGGAAACCTGACTCTTTGAGATAAGGCTGTCCACACCTGACATCAAAACAAGGTGGAAATCAAGCATTTGCAGCCAGCCACCAAAACCAACCTGGTCCTTCCTGTGACATATCCTCCTCAAGTCTTACGCCCTAAGATCAGACAGAGTCCAGCGGTCACAAATGCCGAGGTGAGCTCAGAGGAAGTGGCCGCCTGAGAAGAGAGATGAACCAGATGAGAATGAATGAATGAAGTGAGGGAGTGGGCGAGCGAGTGAGGCTGAGGATGGCTTGTGGCTGCCCCTGCCTTAACCATCTGCTTGGCTTGACATCACGTGGAAATCCAGCTGGTCATAGTGAGGGACAGGCAGAGCACTTCTCGGGGCTGGCATTCCCCCTACACAGGGCTGCCAGGTTCCTAGAACTTGCAGGCCATCCTGTCCCTGGGAGGGCTCCTGCACTGGTAGGAGTTGCCCCCGTTTCAGGCCTCTGGATCTCAGGTTCTGCTTTAAGCCTAGCACCTCCTGCTTGAGTCAGACATAAAGACACGCACTCAGACCACGGGACCTGCACAAGCGCCCCTCCTCCACCCGCCCCTGTTTGTTTGTCTAGCAAGGCACTAGCAAGTGGTTCAAGTTTAGGGAATCGGCTGCTCGGTTGCATTTTCTCTTTGTAAAAGGCACAGTTTTTATTGTAATGAGGCCGCATTGCTCTCTGAGGACTTGACTCCCCTTGGTTGCAACCCACATCCCCACTGGATTCTAGACACCCATCTGCCCCGTTTTGATACCTTCCTAGCTGGCCATTTGTAAGGTAGAATGTTCATATGGAAAAGGACACTAGGAATCCACAAGTGAGCAGGGACAGCACAGGGCTGCATGGAGGTGGCTCTACGCCAGCCACTTGGCCAACCTGGGGGCTTGCTGACCTCAGTACCAGATTCTCTATGGCAGAGCTCTGTCCCCAGAACCACGTATCAGTTACTTCACTGGTAGGTAACATGATCAAGTGACCCAATCCTTAGAGGGTGAGTTTTTGTTTGAGGCCCCCTGGGGTCCTAACACGGGGGTGGGGTGATCTGGTAGGGGATAACAGCTCATGAGGTCCTCATGGTTAACAAGGCTGCAGCTTCCATCGCTAGGGTCATATGTGGGCTTGGGTCAGTGGTTGCCTGACCCTTGGCTGATTGCATTGTATGCTCACACACCCCATGGTTCACCTTGGCTTTTGACAGAACCACAGCACTTTTAAGAAACTCCAGGGTTCTGTGAGTTTAGAATCACAACGGTCATTATCTGGGGGATGCTGCCCCCATGGGACTCTGGAGGGGAGCACCCTTTTCTCTCTGAGGCAAGGAGCTGCCAAGGAGAGACACAGAGAAAGGGCTTTGGAAGCATGGGCTGGAAGCTCTTCAGTCTGGAGGTCTGGGGCTGAACTAGCCCCCAAATCCTACCTAGTGCCCAGACAGCCCTGAAGCTAGAATGGGTATCTGAAATACCCAGAAAGCCGGGGGGGGGGGCATCCTTTACACCTAACTGCTGGCCAGGGCTAGTTATGGAACACTCTGAGGTCGCAGTGGGCTCTCACTGTCCTGCACCAACACAGAAGCTGGGCAGGATTGGCAGTGACCCCCAGCACAGGCAAACTGCCTTGCCAGTGGCTGGCACATAGGCTTAAAAGCTGCCCGAAGGCCGATTCCGCCTTTCTTTCTAGGGCGCTGTCATGTCTGGGAGCAGCCCGAGGACTGGGCAACCTCCCAGGACTAATTTTCTGGCCTGAGGCTACCCAGGTATTCCAAACACTTAGGGGACATGTTGATAGCTGAGGAGCTCTGCCTTCCTGTAGAGCTGTTTGTGCCATCTGTTCTTCCTCTGGCCCCTCCACACAAGTGCTTCAAGGACCTCTGTCCCAAGCCATTTGGCTCAGCACCTTGGTGCCCACAGGTCCCCTTCTCCCACAGGAGGAAGGTTTGCAAGCTCCATAGCAACCTGAGGGGCTTGTTAAGGAGGTCTGAGGATTCAGTTTCTGTTGAACTTTTCTAAGACAGTAGAGTTGGTATGTTCGAAGAGCCACTGCTGGGTGAGGGAGGAGGGGTTGCAGGTGTTCATGAAGATCCTGTGGTCACTTTCACTGCAGTCCATGCAGCTGCCACTCACAGGGTGGTACAGGGTCTTGTCCTACAAAACAGGGAGGTTGTCAGGTGGGGGACACAGCAGCGAGGAAGCAAGAAGTTGAGATTGGCGCTCACATCCTGCTGGCCCTGCTCTTGGCCAGGTATGGCCCAGCATCTCCTGTTTCCTTGTGATGAAATGTTACTTCTAAGCCGGACCTTCAACACTGCCTGCTTCCACCCAAACACATTCTGTCCCTGCTGTATGGCTTGGCTGCTCCCTCCCTCCCTCCCTCCCTCTTTTCCTTTTTTTTTTTTTTTTTTTTTTTTTTTTTTTTGGAGACAGAGTCTCACTATGTAATTCTGGCTGACCTGGATTTTGTTATGTAGACCTTATCTCATTTCACTGAGATCTGCCTGCCTCTGCCTCCCCAATGCTGAAATTAAGATGTGCAACACCACACCCCAGCTTGTCTTCCTTCCTTCCTTCCTTCCTTCCTTCCTTCCTTCCTTCCTTCCTTCCTTCCTTCCTTCCTCTCTCAGGGTTTCTTTGTGTAGCCCTGGCTATCCTAGAACTAGCACTGCCTCCTAAGTGCTGGGATTGAAGGTATGTGCCACCACTGCCCATTGGCTTTCTTTTTTAAGATGTATGGATCTGGGTTTCTGCCCTCTCTCTCTCGGGGCTACATTAACAGCAGAGAGGACGAGTGGGCAGGATCTGCAGGGAGAAGAAGGAGGCATTGCAATCCTTAAAACAAACAACCTCGCAAGCAGGTAGTCTGCTCCCCCATCCCACACCACTCCCCACCTTTCGGTACTTCCACAGCTGGTTGCCCTTCATGCTGTGGCAGTCGTAGAGGGTGACTGGGCTAGTGTGGGAGACAGCGTCGAAGCAGAGCTTCTTGGTGTGCTGAGGGTCTCCAGGCCGGATGTCCTCCTTCCAGGTGAACGTGAACACCTGCACAGATAGGGACATCGGTAGAGAGGTGGCAAACACTGAGAATGTCCCTTTTTGCTTACTAGTTTGCTTTTTGAGATGGAGTCTACTGTTGGATGGCCCCAATCTTGTTATGTAGTCAGGGATAATCTTGAGCTCTTGATCTTCCTGCCTCCAGCTCGCAAACGTTAAAATGACAGACATGTGCCACGCCTGGCTTGCATGGCTGTTTTTATTTGTTTAGTATTCACTACTGTTGGAACAGGGTTTTAATCTGTAGCCCAGGCTGGCTCTGAATTCTTGTGTCCATTGACTCTACCTCCTGTTTTAATAAGCCAGCCTTAACTCTTAGAGGAGATTTGCTTTTATTTATTAGGAGCATGTCTGTGCATATGAGTGTAGTGCTTGCAAAGACCAGAAGAGGGTGTTAGCTCCTCTGGAGTGGGAGTTATAGAGGGTGGCAAGCTGCCCAGTGTGGCTGCTGGGAAATGAGCCTGGATCTTATGTAAGAACAATACTTTCTTTTAACTGCTAAGCCATCTCTCCAGCTCCTGTCTCTCATCAATAAAAGCTATCAACTTCCAGCTAATCCTATCACCTTGTTGCTACTCCTACTTCGTTCTCAAGTGCATCCCAGGCAAAGTAACATGTCAGAAGCTTCAGCAAGCACCACTCTAATGAGAGCAGGTCCCCTCAGAGACCTTGGTGTCACTAGACACCGAGTGGACTTCCCATTCTGAATGAGAATCCAAGCTGGCCTCACTTTCTGAATTTAGCTTATTAGTGCTCTCCCCAGCCCCTCCTGGTACATTTCCACAGCCCTGCCGAAGAATAAGTAATTGCTGATGCTCATCCACATTGTGTGTGCACAGCTGGTGTGCTTCAACTGCCTAAAACCACCCTCAAAGATAACAAGCTGTCCCTCTCCAGGGTCCCTGTGCTCCCTGGCCTAATCTCCCTCTAGTCCCCTCATGGTATCCTCAGGCCACCAGAGATCTGCTTTCTCATACTAGAGATTCAATTGCAACTTCTAGATTTCTCTAAAACTGGAATCATAGCATGTCTTCCTCCTCTCTCTGCCTTTGTTTCCAACATAATCTCACTGGTCACTCTAGCTGCCAGTACATTTACCAACAGTTCGATCCCTGATCTGTCCTCTTGTGTGCCTGTTCCTGATATCTGGGCTGGCTCCAGATTTTGGTTTAAAAAGCAGGCCATTAGGAACATTTATGTGCAAGTCTTTGGCTACATGTTAGGGTTCCAGGCCAGCCCTGAGAAACCCCTAGAAGGCTGGAATTGTGCTGAATTTACACAGCGGCTTGGAAAGGACTATCAGCAGTGTCAAATCTTCCTGGAGAGTCCAACCTTCATTCACTCACGCCTAGGATTTCCACCAACAGGGTTTGCTGTGTGCAGTTCCCGCATTTTGTTAGAAGCCTGAGTAGTAAACACTGTTCACGCTGTAGTACCTTTGTGTTTTTAATTTGTATCAACCGGAAAACAGAGGACAACAGAAGCCAGCAAGGATGTAGGGCAAAGGAGCTCTGCTACCCTGGGGAGTATATCAAGTTAGTGCAGCCCCTGTGAAAATCAGTGTGAAGGGGCTTCAAAAACAAAAAACAACCTACTATATGTGACCCAGCTCTCCTCAAAGGAATCAATGCCAACACATCAAAGAAAGACCTGCTGTGACTTAGTGAAACAAGGTCTCACACAGCACAAGCTGGCCTTGATCTCCCACCTCCTGCCTCAGCCTCCAGAGTGCTGGGTTTAACTACAGGTGTGTGCCACCATGGCCAGTTATGTGGTGTTGAGGATTATATCCAGAGCTTTGCACATGCTAGGCAAGCACTCTGGAGCTGAACACCTGCTTCCCAGTGGTTTTTTTTTTTTTTTTTTAATTTATATTTATAGGCTGGGCTTGGTGCACACCTCTAATTCCAGCATTTGGGAGACAAAAGGCAAGAGGGTCTCTAAGTATGAGGCTGATCTGGTTCACATAGCAAGTTCCATGACAGTCAGGGTTATATAGTGAGACCCTGTCTCAAAAAAATTATTTTAATACTCTGTGTGTGTGTGTGTGTGTGTGTGTCATGGCATGAGTGTGATAGTCAGGGGAAACGTTGGGATTTGGTTCTCACCTTCTACGCTGAGTTCTGGGGATTGAACTCAGGTTTTTAGCCTTGCAAGGCAAGCACCTTTCCTGGCTGAGCCATCTCACCAGCCAGCCCCACTTAGTGATTTTATATGCCGAGGAAGACAGACATAGGGCAGGCAGCACATGCTGCCTTCCAAGGCAGTGCCCTCTACAAGTCATTCCCCTGAAGAAAGGTCCTCAACAGAACTGGCCAGAGGCTGGTGTCATGCTCTTGAAGCTGCAGAACCATGAGATCTGAAAGTTCAGTAAACTTCCATTCTTTATAGAGAACTCAGAACACAGCATTTGGTTATAGTAACAGTAACCTCAGGAAGCATGTGTGTGGACACACACACACACACACACACACACACACACACACACACACACACACCACTAGCCTGTTGGTTCCAGGCATGAGGGTGGAAGTGACTTTAATAGGACAGTCCAGATGAACATTAGTACCCATCATATGCAGAAATCCCATTCTTTCTTCCCCTGGTGCTCTGGGAGCTCTGGGACTCATTCTCTGGTTGACAACTGTCCCTCTTCTCTAAGTGTGAGGACCTGGGAATCCCTCTGAGTGGCCCTTACCTGCATGCTGTTCCAGGCAGCCTCCCCACGGCCCCGAATACAGGTCTCGAGCCTCAGTGGTGAGCCCAACGTGCCGAGCTTTGTGTCTGTGCACAGTCCTGTGCCTACATTGCGAATCTGAGGGCAAAAGGAAGAGCAACTGCTGAGGATCCTCAAGGCATCCACTGGGCCCGGCTGGGTGGTGAGGAGACAAAGGCAGAATCCAAGACAGGCTGACATCTGAACTAACTACCTTAGAGGAGCTTGCCCCAGGCTGCTGGAGGACCTCCAGTGACACTGTTCCTGAAGGTGAGAAGGAAGGGCCTTCTCTGGCCTTACATTGAGAGCACTCTACCCAGCAGATCCAGGATCCAATTTGACCCCCATTCCAGGGGCCTGAGGGGGAAGGTTTGTGGTGGGGGAAGTATCTTGGAAACTATTCGAGCAGGATGCAATATCTTTGCCACTCATCTAGAGTTATCCGTCAGGGCAAGGAACTAGCACAGGAAAGCAGGAGTTCTCCCCAGCCCATTCCAAAGAACAAAAGTGGCCCTGGTCCATACCTCAGCCATGAAGGCCCGAGGGTCAGGCGGGAGCTCTGGGCTGTAGATTTGCTTAGGACGCATACATCACCAAGAGGCAACGGGGTGACAGTTGAGTTAGTCAAAAATGGGCTCCCGAGGTTCTGGTGAGAAATTCTGTAGTCCGCAGGAGGACGAGATGGAGATGAGGGCACTACAACTCAGTTGTTCCGAACCTGACTTCTATATTCTTATTCCGAATTTCCAATGGGTTCCATGGGTTGGGAACATGGTTCACCTGAAGAGCATGACTTAAAATGTGCAAGCTCCCGTATTCCTGTCCCCGACACTGCCAAGGCCAAAGGGCCAAAATCCAGCAATGTCTCATAGTCAAAAGGTGAAATGAATGCTGAACCCAGCTTACATTCTCAGAACACTCAGTAGTAGCACGATAAAACAAAACCAGAAAATGAAAATCAGCCCCACCCTGACAGGGTCTGGGAGAGAAAGGGAAAAAAGGATGGTGAGCGACACTGAGGTTTTTCCTGGGCACATTCTCTGGGTGTCTGTGCCCAGTCCCTCCAGCCACACTCACCTCCCCCCACGCTGCAGCTGGGGGCTCTACAGGTGGATAGAACTTGGGCAGGTCCCAGGCAATCTTGGTCATGAACCACTTGAAACTCTTGCAGTTGAGGGACACTCGGAGCTTTTTCTGAGCCACGACATCCCCAGATGAGAGGTGGCGGTACTCTGGTCTGCGCTGGTATATGTATTCTGCGTACTCATCCATCCACACCTCTGCCACTCGCTTCAGGTTCTGCAATGAAAGACGACTTGCAAGGGTCAGCTGGAGCCATCTTGCCAGCCCTTGCGCCTTATTTCTTGAGGCAGGGTCTCTCTCACTGAGCCTGGAGCTAGGCTGGCAACTTGCACAGCCCAGCTAGCCTGTCACCAGCTATCCTGCCTCTTTCCCCTGGCTTGGCTGTGGTTATAGTTGCCTGGTTACAGGTGTCTTTTTATGTGGGTGCCAGGACCCAAAGTCAGGTCCTCCTCACGCCTTTGCACTGAGCACTTACTCACTAAGCCAATTCTCCAGCTCTTCAAAGTCAGTTTGAGTTGGGTTTCTGTCATTTTCCACCAACAGTTCTGGCCTAATTCCACGATAAGAATGATTTGTGCCCAGAAGGTCTAATCCAACCAGCAGGTGGGATTCCTACCAATCCTCAGAGGTTTGAGAGTTTTATTATAAAGCTTCAAGACAGCCAACTACAAAACAACCAATGGTGACTGAAGGCAGCTCTGGGCAGAGGACTTTGGAGACAGGAAGACTAAGATCTTGCATGTCAATCAGGTGAAAATCCCCTATTCCTGCAGCGAACCCCACTCAGAACACAAGAGCCTAAGTCAAAGGAAGCCCCTACTTGCAAACCTCTTCCTTCAAACCCAGACTTCCTTCAATGGCTAGGACCCCTTACCCCTTCCCTCCACACAGGGAACTAGATGGTTTGACTTCTATCTTGTGGTTAATCTGAATTTTCCTCTGAAGTGTAACAGTGATTGACACCTGTGTGTAAAGGTTTGCTTTAGGAGCAGACAGCATGGCGGGGCTGGACAAATGTTTAAGTGTTTTCTGGTGGAGATAATTGAGTTCTGCAGACCAGATGGTCCCAAGGCACAGAGCCTTAAAACAGCCAGCCCCTATGTAAATGAGGGGGTGTGGCCACACAACAATAAAACTTTATGATGTCAATCACTACTGGATTTTCAAGTGTCACAACCTGGTGTCCTACATTCTTTGGCTTTCCCTCCCGTTGCTTAAAATTGTGAAAACCATTGTTAGCTCTTGACCCAAGCAGAAAGTCACCTTCTCCTGAGCATAGGGAGGCATGGCAACACTGGGGAGGCCCTGCATGGGAACCCTGCTTTGTGGCAGGGCTCTGCCTATGATAGCTTCCAGAGACAGCCAGGCTCCCCTGCAGCCACTGGCCCCACTGGAAAGAGAGCCTGCACCACCGGGTGTCTGTGCAGCCAAGGCTGGGCCTGGTGGAGGGCCTCAGAGTCTGCACATCGGGAACATTCTAGAACATGGAAACTCTTCTCCTTCCCTGCCCTCCACCTGCTGCAGGACTGCCTTTCTCACGCCTCAGGCCCAGTGACAGGCTTGTGTAGTAAGTAACCCTCTAGTTTGTTCTAGAGGCAGATGTGCCACTAAGAGAGCATACTGGCTCTCTCAGGGCCCTGAGAACCTCTACATGCCATTCAGGAGGCAAGTGCCCTAGAAGCCCATGAATGTTGTTGCCAAAACAGTGAGCTGACTTTTTTTTTTTTGGTTTGAAGACCAAATCTTGATTATGAAGCCCAGGGTGGTTTTGAACTCTCCATCCCCCCTCATCTCGAGATTCTGGAATGCTGGGAGGAGCAAACACATTGTATCTGACCTGGAACTAAATGGTGGCAGTGAGCTGCAGTTATGGTGGGCACAGGCAGCCACACAGGTGACAGCTGGGCTTACAGAGAAGAGGTGGGATGCACCCCTGGGGCTGGCCCACATCAGGACAGATGGCCAATGATGTCAGATGCCTGAATGGGATTCAGGTGAGACACAGAAGCATACTGTCCAGCTCCAGCTGCTAACAGGGATGCAGCCACTGACACCTGTGGACAGTCAGAGCCGCTGTCGAGGGAACACATGCAGGTGCCTGTCACACTTAAGCAGGAGTTGGAGTTCATTTCATCTCTCCATCCCCAAAGTGGAGAACAGAACCCAAGGGGAAGGGAGGTCAGTCAATGTCCCTCCTCTCTGCAGGGTACCTGGCTGGAATTCTGTGTGTGGCTGCAGCCCTCCAGCACCCTAATGTCCATCTCTGATTCAGAAAAGGATGCAGTCGCTGTCCCCATGCTCCTGGTTGCCCCCAAGAGTGGCAGTCTCCTCTTATGAAAAGACCGTGGCTCTGTTTTCCTGCTTGGCATTCTGCCGCGAAGGCCAAGGGCATCTGAGAAGATTTCCACTTCTTGGTGGGCCTTATCTGGAGTCCAGCTCCACTAAGGGGCAGGCTGTCCACAGAGCAGGCGGTCTGGAGGCTGTCATCAGAGATTCTCACCGCTAGAGGGCTCTGCCACCCAGCCTTCCAGGCCTGTGCTCTCTGGCTCAGCGGTGCTAGAAGCTGAGGAAATGCCTGTCCAGCAAGGCTGGGAACCCAGGCAAGAAGGTCCCCTAACACTTCTTTGTTGGCACATGGCTGCACTCTGGCCTTTCAATCCCCGATACGGTTTGGGCGGGGTAAAGGAGAAAGTCACTTCTTTATTACCCCCCCACAGCAAGCTTTTCAACAGCGATGAAGAGTCCCACTGTGCCTGCTTGACACATTTCTTTAACTCATTCCTGTCTAGCTTTGTACCTCCATTAACTCTACCACAGGTAGCCCTCCTGTGAAATGACCAGTTCACTCCATTTAACACATCATTTTCCTATCTTTCTGCAATGCTGGGCAATGCAGAGTTGGAAAGGATCTACTCTGTTTCAACAGAGCTCCAAACACAGCCTCAGAGGAGTGGGGCAATCCAGTCTTCCCAGCCCCACAGCCTCCACGTAGCCACGTGGGCTTTATTAAGTCCTTTTCAGTTGGACTGCACTTGGGCATCAACTGGATCCTGGGCCCCAGGATGCCTCCATGCTACCACTGGCTGCCCCCAGTCTCCTGGAAAGCTGCCACCTTACCCGGGCCAGGCTGACTCCAGCAGGGACCTTGTAGGGCACATACTTCCTGTAGATGTGGCCCACCCTGGAGCAGGGGATGTCCTCCATACGGCCCCCACACATCCACACCTGTAGGGCGAGAAGGGAGGATGAGGGTGATGCCTCTTTCTTTATGTCCTCATTCCCTCAAATGCCAGCACACTGCCTGCATGGCTTTCTCAAGTCCTGAATGGTACGGAAAAATACCTCACAAGCTGTGGAAAGGGTTGCCAGCCATAGCTGCCGAGCACCCATTGCTGACACTGAGACGCACAGGAAGTAAGGCCCACAGGCTAGTAAGTTGTCGAGGCTAGAATGGAAGCCCACGGGCATTACAAGGCCACTGTGTTCTTGAATTCATAGCAGCTGTGATTCCCTGCCTAAGACCTCCATGCCCAAGATTGGGACCCCATGGACCAATGGATGGCTCACCAGGTAAAATGTACCTACTGTCAAGCCTTGGGATCTGCATGGTGGGAGGAGAGAATGGACTCCCCCAAGTTGTTCTCTGACCTCTAAATGTGTGCCACGGAACCCCCTCCCAAATTCATTAGTACAAATAAATAAAATAGATTGGCCCCTCAACATTTCCGGCATGAATGGGGGTGTTAACGGGAAGAGACATTTTCTTCAGTGGTGTAGCCACTGGTAAGGTGTCTGTGATCCTGTAAATAACAGTTAAGCTCACTGGTTCACATGCACACAAGACATGAAAGTAGAAGGGGTCAGGCTGGGAAAAAGAAGGGGACCAGGGAGGAGGCTGCTACACTGTCTTCATTGGCTGGGACGGTCTGATTCAGGACTATGGTGAAGAGAACACCAAGTATGCAAAGGCTCAGGGGTAGGCGCTGACACTGTGCCATGGAAGCCAGAGGCGGAGTCCAATGGGGTATGAGGGAAGGGTGGGCACGGGCATTGTTAGGGTAGGGCTGGACAAGATGTCTTCATACCATTCAATTCTACAAAGAAGTTGCTTCCGCTCATGGAATGGGGTAGGTGCAGTCCTGGGCAGATACTACAGTCCAGAATTGATGCCACAGTGGCTTTGGGCATGGAGGGTCCTAGCTGCTTCTGGGATATTGATCATGTTTTCTCCTGTGGATTGAGGGACTGGCATGGGACTCAGATGATCCAAGTTCTGTGCAGCACCCTTGCTAGTGGCACACTGGGGACTGGGCTTCATGCCTTAATCCATTCAGGGCTCCTAAAGGGTCCTGGGTCTTGCTACCTCCTGCGAAGATGGATGCAAGATTTCCTCTGTGCCATTTCCCATGGTGGGAGGTGTTTGAAGCTGCAGTTAGCAGAGGTGCTGTCTGAGCAATGCAGTTCTACTCAGATGAAGAAAAAGGAAACCCTGGCCAGTCAATTGAACAGGACACTGGTCTCAAGATAATGGGCTCTGGATGCTAGATTAATGTCAAGGCCAAGCCAAGAAGTTTATTTTTAAAGCGGGATATCGATCAGCCGCCAGGCTCTCCTCACTGAGGATTGATGGGGAAGTATGCATTTGCCAGGCAGATATGCCTGCTCATTGCCAGGCCACCCTCTGCCTTTCTGAAAGAGGGGTGGTGTCAAGCTGGTTTTGACCATCTCCTGTGGCACATGCATTGGCCAAAGCTGTCCCCAGCTCTACTGGCTTGGGGTCCATCCACTATGCAAGTGGAACAAATGAAATCCAAAGCCTTCTTTCTGCTGGGGCCTCCAGGTCCTGTGGCCCTGGCCACACTGGCCACCAGCCTGAAGGAATCAGGGTGACCTTGCTCTGCTGGAAGGTTGAGGTATCCAAGGTGTTCCCAGAGTGTAGGATGTTCTGACTTCATAGATGATCTGGGTTCCCTCCATGGATTCCTGCCCAGGATGGAGGTGCTGCTGATGGCCGACTCAGAATGGGAGTTCCCTTCAGGCTAAACTGCAGGGGACTGCCAAGTCCACTTGGACTACCCAAAATGCATCTCACATGAGGGTGCTGGGAATTGAACCCAAGTCCTCTGGAAGACTGCTGAACCATCTCTCCAGCCTCTTCATGTAGCCCAAATATTAAAAACTCAGAGACAGATATTGGAGTTCAAGCTGACGATCAGAAAAGCAAAGCAGCCAGCCAGCAACTCTTACTTCTACTAAGCTGAAATGAAGATCCTGTCTTCCCTGTGATTGGAAACTGAATTTCACATGAGACCCTTTGCTTCTTCGTTATATACCCTCTCTAGTGCTGCTATTAAAGGCATGAGCTCTGTTACTCTTTTAGACTGATTCACTCTTGTGTAGCCCAGGGTGGTCTTGAACTCACAGAGATCCATCTGCCTCTGTCTCCTAAGTCCCGGAATTAAAGGTGTGTGCCACCCCTGCCTGGCCTTTTTGCATTCTGATCTCCAGTGGCTTTATTAGATCACAAATAATGTATCACCACACCTCCATCGCTTTTCTCTTAAATGCAACATAATCATATGCATAGATGCATGTCAGCTGCCATCCTGTGCAGTGGTCATGGCATCTCTGCCTGTTGGCAATTTCTCTGTGGGGTCACTGTCCTCCCCACTCCTCCTGGGCCAGTGGCCAGGCCAGCCAGCTTCCATCCTCAGCCTTGTCGGCTGAGGCCTCAGGTCTTTCTGTTTGTTTTGAGAAAGGGTCTCATGTGCGGGTGTTCTTAGCTAGGAGAGCGGTCACTGGCTGAAATGGAAGGCCCTTCTCTCATCTTTCTCTGGAAAGCCTGCCTTCTTTCTGGGATGGGCGAAGTGGGATAGACACAGGAGGCCAGAGTATCACTATCATGGCCTCCATATGACAAACATCTCTTAACTGCAGATATGGGTTTCCAAAACTTGGGGTTGCCCCTTTCTGGGACAGAATGTCACAGACTCAGGTTGGTGTCCTGGGTTGAGCCATGGCAACCATGGAAGGTCCAAGGCCCAGACCTGGCTCTGCTCTTAGCCAGTCACACTGTACTGGCTTCTGGCCTTCCTTCCTTCACAACCAATGCAGCTTTACATGGCGAAAGTGAGGTCTGCTGTAGTCAAGTCCCTCTCCCTTCTGGCTCCAGGAGGGCCAGGGCTGCAGCTGGCCCTGGGACAGATTCACAGCCATCAGGCTAATGACACTCAAGGAGCTTCCCACAGGCTCTCACAGGCTGCTTGAGCTACAGGAGACAGACCTGGAGAGGGAGCCATAGTAGACTGAGTGACTAGACCTGGAGGAGCGGGGAGGGTTCCTACCAGGGAACTGTCAGCCCTTCAAGCCTGGCCTTTACAGATGTTACATTGTTTTCCATCTGGGCTACTGGTGTAAGAGTCCCATGGAATGATAGGGCCAGAGGGGAAGGGGGAGGCACAGAAAGAAGAGATGGGATGTATGTACTGAGCTACAGAACCCAGTACTTAACCAGCTTCTGGAACGGACAAGATGTCAATCTAAGCAGGGGCTCTGACATAATGACCTCGGACAGAGACAGAAGCCTGCTGGGGACAGGGCTGGAAAAAAGAAGGGATCAGTAACTTTCCCAAACATTTCAGACTGCAACTTTTGTGTTCCATTTTGAAGTAAAGTCTCATGTAGCCCAGGCTAACCCTGAACTCCTGATTTTCTCCTGCTTCCTAGTGCTTAGGCTCACAGGCATGTGCCACCAAGCTACTTTATTTATGCTGGGGATTGAACCCAGTGCCATGTACATGCTGGGCAATCCCTCCACCAAGTGAGCTACACCTCCAGTCCCTTGCTTTTTCTTTTCTTTTCCTTCCTTTCTTTCAACACAGGGGATTCTGAGTGCTGGCATTACAACTGTGTACCACCATAGCCAACCAATTCACCAATGGTGGCATAGATTTAATTATTTACTTAGTTTTGGGGCAGGAGCTCACAGTAGCTGGGCAAGCTATGTCTTCAGCCCTGGAATGGGTTTGCTGGGGTTCTCTCAGAGGACAAACAGGCCTGGTGTGGAATCAGAGCTGGATTATTAATCTGTTAGAGCCAGTGGTACAGAGAGATCCATCACGATTTCTGGAAGTACACTTTGTGTACTTTTAGGCCAGTGTCTTTTCTGTCATCATGAAGGATGGGGAATCTGGCCCATGGGAGAGGCTAAGCCCTGGCTGAGACAGAACCTTGTGTTCAAAGAGACACCACGGCAGATGGACAAGCCTGCCTCGGGCCTGGAACACAGGCAGGACAGGTGGGCTGTCACTGGCCAGGCGAGGAGGGAGGGAGAAAGAGAGAGAGGGAGGGAGGAAGGGAGAGAGAGAGAGAGTTGAGGGAAGAATGCCTGCCTCCCTCCCCAAGGCCTCCCCACTCATTATATCAGCTCATTTCCCCCAGAGAGTGTCGGATATAATTGGATCAGATGGAATTCGAGCCAGCCTCCTTCCTGATATTCCAGTACGGCTTCATTACAGACTCTTTTGTAAATAAACGGAGTGGAAAAAACAAAAAACAAAAAACAAAACAAAAAAAAAAACCCAAACCCAAAATCACCATTTGTTCTGCTGTGACTGCCTGATGAGTGACATTAGACGGGTCTTTGAAACACATGGAACAAAATGAAACCCTTTTGGGTTCAGAGATCCCTTTGTGAATAACTCTCCGCCATTCTCCACGGCAGCCGTTTCTGGAGAACAAGTTGCTGGGGGACTTGGAAGCGGCTCTGGCCCATGACCTAGCCACCAGATATTCATGCAGCATCTTCCATGCCAGGCAATCCTACAGGTGCTGGGGATGCAGGAGCGAGGAGACACAAAAGGATCCAGGATCTATTGCAGTTGATTACCTAGCAACACCTCACAATTCGGATGGGTTTCTTTCTGGAGACAAACCTGGAAGACTACGTCATCAATCAATGTTTGGTGGACAGATCCATGACTTCCCAGCACCCATGCAATGTAGCACGTGTCAAACTAGATTATGTGGGTTAGGGAGACTGACCCTACAGTCAAGACCTCTGACCTGGACCCAAGGCTTAACTAAACTGTGGTGGATGAGCATGGTTGCAGCTGAGGGTGCCCATCCAACAGGGAGGCCCCTACCAATGGGCCAAGGGCATCTGGGGAGAGACTCCTAGGGTATTTACTTTTCCTTTTGAAAAACCTTTTGGGTTTGTACCTGGGAGAGTCGGTACTCGCAGAGGCCACAAGGGGGTGTCTGATCCTTTGGAGCTGGAGTTAGAGAGGGTTGTGAGTGTGGAATTTGAACTCAGATCCTCTGCAGGAGCAGTAGGTCTTCTTTCCTACCGAGCCATATCTCCTGTCCCTCATTTGCTACTTCCGACCCATTCTATTCACTGAGAGCCCGAGGAGTAACCAGGTGGAATAGGAATAACCCCAGGAAGAGGCAAGACCTGAAGCAATGATGAGCGAGTGCAACTGATTTTCAAGGCTAGTTTTCCTCTCAGTTGCTTTTTTCTCAATAGGCTAATATGTGGGCTTTGAATCTGGCAAGCTTGGGGTCAGGCCTTCATCCAGTCATTGAAGACTGAGTAGTTTGAGTCCTACTTGCCCTCACGATGGGGATGTGTGACAGTGGCGTCACTGTCATAGGTGGCTGGGAGGGTCATATAGTCTGACACACATGAAGGGTTGGTGTGGCATCTTGTTAACTCCACAGGGCTGGAGGTGAGCTGTTATAGGGCATCTGTCCCAGTTAGTTGGTACCAAATACTTTGGGCATTACTCCTTGGAACCAACGTTTGAGAGGCTGGTCCTCTCAAAGGGCACAGCACCAAAGACCTGGAGGTTAATAAGGACACTATATCATAGCATTACCATTGCACAGAAATATCTCGGCAGAATTCTAGGGAGCTGTTTGTATTCCCCAGGTCTGAACTGTGCAGCCAGTTCTGTAGATGATGCCAATGTCTTGAAGGAAGATAATGTTCTTTAGGATTCTTATTAACCAGCCCCTAGCAAGCATGGTCTCATTAATTCTCAACAACTCTGACAGCCTCATAACTACCAACCTCATTTTAGGGAAGCTGAAATTAAGACTCAGTGAGGGGAGATGCCCTGGTCCAAGACCACACAGCTACTGTTGGAAGTGGCTGAACTTGGACCTGACACGGACCACCTAGGCCCAGCCCTGAGGTCCTTCACCACAGTACTTGACATCAGACCACTACACTGGAACATGATTCTCAACCCAGAAATGGTGCTGTTTGTCCCTAATGAGATGGGGACTTGTCAGCCAGGGACTGGTCATGTTGGATGTCGGGATACGTGTGTGTGTGTGTGTGTGTGTGTGTGTGTGTGTGTGTGTGTGTGTTATCATTCAGCTGAGGAGGCAGAGCCCAGAGAAGTGATCTAAACTGCTCAAAGTCAAAGCCACCAAGTGATAGGACTAGAACTTGGATGGAGGTCTTCCCAGCTCCCCCATGGGAGCTTCCACCCAGTGGTCTCTGCTAACTCCTGCTGTGACGGGCACAAGAGGGACAACTCGAGAAGGAGACTATGTAGGTCAGCTGGGCATCTGCGAGGCTACAAGGCTTGCGGCCTAGGTTTGCCTGTCTTCATCTTCCCGGTGCTGGTGGGTGGCTCTATCACAGCCTTGCCATGCTGAGATGCCATGCACAGTTCTATGGCTGAGACCGGGGAGTTTGAAGAGCCCTTCCACCCCCTCACTGCCCCTTTCCTCAGGGAGTGGCTAGCCAGCTCCTGACTCCTCTACCCCAGGAGCAGAGAAGTCCCAACAGCTGTACATGGGAGAAGAGACTCACCTTGAAGGAGATCTCATACTGCTCCCCTCCCCAGATCTCCAAGCCAGGGTCATATCCGCCCAATTCCCAGAACCACTTCCGGTCCACAGCAAACAGCCCTCCAGCCATCACAGGAGACCTGTGAGAGAAGGGGTAGGGTATGAAGATGTGCAGTCAGAAGCTCTGCTTCTTTGCTCATGGCGTCCCCAGAAACCCAGCTTGTCTGCTGGGGACTCCAAGGCCTCACGGGCGGGCGGGGACCTGGCCTTCTTGCCTGCCACTTCCTCTCATAAACCACTGCATTTTAACCTAAGGGATCCCCAGTCCATTGATGCAATTAACCCCTGAGGGTGTCTGTGAAGTGACATCTGCAGCACCAGCACCAGCATTTCCTCCCCACAGGGCTCACGGCTGCATTACAAAGCCTGTCTCTAGCCTTCTCTTTAGTTACAGGGTCTGATTCAGTTGTCTTCACCATGAATGTGCCGCAGAACCTTCCAGAGTTTGAAAAATAATGCAGCTTGCTGGTACCTTGCTGGGCCAAAGGAAGCTGCCTGTGGGCCAGGATCCAGACAGGCACTCGGTTTAGAGCTGGCCCCTTTGAGGATTCTCTCTCACTGAGCTCAGCAGATGCTCGGCTGTGCTGGCCAAAATGACAGCTCAGTCCTACCAGTTACTCTGGCAGGAAGGATGAACTCCATTCACTCATTCATTCATTTATTCATTCATTCATTGGTTTATCACTGGTTGCCACCCATGAAGCAGGTCCTGGAGGGGCCAGGAAACAAATCACTGTCCTTTGGCGGACAGCGGTGTGGTGGACAGGTCAGCTCAGAGGAGGGATCCAGGTGAGAGACGGAGAACAGCAAAGGCCTTTGGGAAGTACAGACAAGAGCATGAAGGAAGGCAAAGAGTGTGTCTGCTTCAGGTCCTGGGAGTGGGGCGGCAGGGATAGGGAGTAAGGAAGGATGCCAAAAGGAAAAGGTGTTGAAGAGGGTTGTTGAGGGGAAATACCTCAGGGGAGGAGGGGACCACGCCAGCAAGGCACAGGCATGACACAGAGAAGGGTTAAAGAGCGAGGGTGTTACACGACAGGTGCCAGAGGACACCGTGATGCTTCCCACAGAGCAGTGCTGAGCAGAAGCTGCCTGATGTCCGTGGTGTGAAAGCCTATCACTGACCAGGTCTGATGATGGGACAATCCAAGCCTTCAAGCCGACGTGCTCAACAATAGCCTTCCTGTTGCTGCTTGGCCCCAGGACTCATGGCAGAGACTGATGTGACAGCGCTGTACCTAACCGTGCGCCTCCTAAGCCTTCTTTGTGGCAGGTGGAGGGGTACGAGTGCAGGAGGGGGACCCCTGGGACATTACTGAAGGCTTGACACACCACAGGTCACCCTGCAAGTACTTAGGTGTCCTTCTCACCTCAGCTTTCAAAGGGGGTGGAGCCAACTGTTGCTATCCTGACTTTGCTGCTGTGGAATGGCAGCAGTCCCGGGTAATTTGTGGGAGGCTTCAGAGCCACTGGCTCACCCTGCCTCTAAGCTGCAGGTTCAAATCTCTGACCTTCCACCCTGCTTCCCTCACGAATGAGCTGTGGCGATACAGTAGGCAAGTGTCAGTGGGCTACATGAGACCCTGTTTAAGAAAAAAACACAACACTCACCCAGCTTCTCTGGCCCTCTTATGTCACCCAAGGTGATAGCAACCCTAGGTGGCTTAGGGTAGCGGCTGCACTTGAAACATGACCCTTGGCAAAGAGAGGTGGTTGGTGTGTGTTTGGGATATCTGAGATCTGGGGTGAAGAAAGAGATGTGAGGGAATTGGAAAATCTTAGTGGTTAGGTGACTGGTGCTTGGTTCTTAGTGGGCTCAGGCCTGTGGACTCTCCGCACTGGACACGAGGACAGGGGAAGAGTCTCGGTGTGTTGGGAGGGGCCCTGGGTCACTGCCAGTATGAGCCTAGATCAGTTGTACTTACTCAAATGGGTCACTGGGGTCAGCCTTCTGCAGCTCTGGAGGGATGGGGATTCGCTTGTAATACATCTCCCAGTCGAAGGCACCTCGCATGGCGTCCCCAGCCTGTGTCTCATACCGGAAGTCATCATGGTCGATGACGTCAATCATTGGACACACGATGGTCTTTCGGTTCCGAGCAATGCGGTCTGAGGTGGTGGAGAGATGCGTATTAGGGGAAGCAGCAGAGGGCAGCTTCCTGCTCTATGGGACACTTACTCTGAACGTTCCCCAGATGACTACCCTCAACAGCTCCTTGGGGATGATTCTCTTGACTCTACTTCAATTTACTATGTAGCCAAGGCTAGCCTTGAAGTCCTTAACTTCTCTCAAGTGCCAGGATCACAGGCATGTGCCTAGAGGCTGCAAGATTTTGTAAGGAATGTGGCTTCCTTCCAGACCCAGCACCACAGAAAGGGACTTCCTCACACAACATCTCCAAGTCCTAGCGTCTCCTCTCTGAGGCGGGGTGGGAGGGTCTGCCTTGGAGGTTGTTAAAAGGCTTGGATAACACAGTATTTGAAAATGTCCGGCTGGGCGGAGGTGGCGCAAGCCTTTAATCCCAGTGCTCCGGAGGCAGAGGCAGGCAGATCTCTGTGAGTTCAAGGCCAGCCTTATCTAGAAGAGCTAGTTCCAGGACAGCTTCCAAAGTCACAGAGAAACCCTGTCTTGAAAAACCAAAAAGAAAATGTCCAATTACAGGGCTATGAATGTATGGCTTTGCTGTTGGTATACACTAATTTTCTTCTATTCGGACCCCTATTCTGGCCTTGCCACACACTCTTACTGCAAAATCCTGATCATGACTCATGGCCCAAAGTAGCCAGGTTTCCTAGTATCTGTCTGTCCCCAACTGCTCATGGGCACCGATGGCTGTGGTCAGGAGTAGGAGCATTCAGATTTGAGATTTTAAGCAGCCCATGCTATGTAAGAGGGAGCAGACAGCCCTTGGAAGTTCTGTGTGCCCAAGCCAGAAGGTATGCAGGCAGAATGTGCCACCCCACCGAATGCTACAGGCTGAGAGATTCAAGACAGCAGATGGAGCCTTGACCCAGTCCATGTCATAGCCCCTTTCAGGCCTGGGAGGAGCTGATTGGTTCCCTCTGCCTGACCTACCAAGAGGATTCCAGTGCTGGTCCGATCTACGCTATGTCTGTCTGCTTCAAGGGAACCACTGTGGGGTCCATGATCTGCCACGAGGGGCAGATGGGCTGTGCTGGGGAGCTTGCTGCTCAGGGTCAAAGTTCATGGGTCATGTTCAAGTCTTGCAATGTGGGCCCTAGAGGGCTAGAGAAGGGAAGGGCCCACATTTCATCACGCCATACAGCATTTTCCCAAGAGTATTTGTGCCTGTTTTCTAATCTGAAGGCATGACCTACAGGTGGGAAGGTGAGTGGTGAAATTGAGTGTATGTACGTGTGTGCATGTGTACATGGATACATACATACATGCATGCAAGCCTGGAGAACCGTGACCATTAACCCTACTTCACAAGACAGCAGATCCTTTTACAGGCAAACCGATGTCAGGAAGCAATATTTAGTCCCACTAAGTTTGAAGGTACATACTAGATTGAGATGGCCACTGCATTTCCAACTCGTGGTTTAAATAGCTGCAGAGGCTGGAGATGTACCTTAGTGGTAGAGCATTTGTCTAGCATGTACTAGCCTCAACACACACACAGACACACACACACACACACACACACACACACACACAGTTACAGAAATGCCACTTGCAGGATATATCCCCAAATGGACAGTAGCATGACCAGTGCTAGATACACTTGGGGGTGAGTTTTATCCCTACATTGTTCTCATCCGATGAGTCAGAATCTCTGATACATGGCTTCCATCTGCCTGTGGACAAGCTCCCTTGGGTGGAAGTGTGTCTTCATGATGCTTAGGGGCCTTGATGGAAAGATCAGAAGAAGGGTCCCTATCCTAATTATTCAAGACCTCTGAGGTGATTTTGCTTCCGTAGACGGTTGGTGCCAGGGATGGCTGACAGCTGACCTTGCTAGATAGCAGTGGCCTGTGTCACTGAACTTGTTTGGGAACAGAACACCTAGGTTCACACCCCAATGTCACCTCTTCATAGTGCATCTTTGGACATGGCTGGCTGATGCCTCAAGAGTTTTGGCTTCTTTGTTGAGCACAGGAGGATGAAATGCCCCACCCTAAGGGTCTCTGGGGACCGAGATGCCTGTGTTCCCCATTTCCCATGACCATGAGGGATATGGTAAGATACTCACAGGAGCTACTCTGAGCCTGAGTCCCTCTGTCCTTTTTTGTCACATGCAAAGAGTAGGTAAGGATGCCGATCCTGCCTGTTGGGCCGGGTAAGTCAAATCCAAGTACAGACCTGGCCTAAATTCAGAGGGGCTCTCAAAGCCTCGAGGATGGTGACAATCATGAAGAAAGAGGAGATGATGACTGGGAGTGGCTTTCCCACCAGGCTGAGTCCTCAGGCTCCACAATGTCTGATCATTAGTAAGGGCAGAGGCTGTCAAGCGAGGAGGTGTTAATGGATTCACAAACAAAGCCATTGCTGGGACCCACATGGATGTTCTAGTGTTTCTATGGGGGAATGGGAGGTGGGGGCGGGGAAGAGTGAGAGGGGATGTGTCTTCCTTCCGCCAAGGATGAAAATAGCCCTCACTCATTTCCATAGAAACAGAGTTAAGGCTGTTTAGACAAGCTCAACTCAGTGGTCCACCTCTTCACTCTCAGGAAAGGACCATCCACAGGGCTTGGACTGCTAATGTGCCGGCTGCTGCTGAGACCGAGGCCTTTTCCTTCTCTTCTTCGGGAATGAAAAGCAGATGCAGGCCATTGCTTGGTTTAATTAAATAGGCAGTTTATCAGAAATTCTGCTCTTTCTCTCAGCCCGGTGAGATCCTGGGCCCCATCGTCAGGAGTGCATGATCGGTGATGTGCTCAGGGCTACAAAATCAGCTGGGTTGTCCTGTGGTTGTGTGGGCTGCCCTTCCCGTCCTCACCTGCACGGTGGCATTTGCTGCTGAGGTTGCTGGACCAGGTAGCACTTGGTAGCTGGCCCCTCTGGCCACCATAGTTGGCATGTGTGGGTTGGAGTGTGTGGCTGGGGCATCATGGGTCTTGTGGGGAACTGTGATGCTCATTTGTTTGTCCTCTGAGCTGGACAGCTTACCCTCTGCTTTTGAGGAGTTCACTTTTCTCTTGAGGATGGTAGCCTCACAGCTTGCCCTGGTCCTGCTTTGCCTTGTCTCTCAGTCCTGACAGGACATTTGACTTAGGTATCTGCCTGGCAGTGCCTGCTCACTGCCTCCATCTGGGTGGAGCTCCTCAAGTCTTGACGTGATCTTCCTCCATTGTGAGTCCCTCATGCCCACCTTCTACCCACGGGCTTCGGAGGAAGGTTCCTGGATTACGCCTCCCTCCAGGTCATCTGAGAGGAAAGGAATCTGGGACGCAGTGTGGAGTTGTGGGAAAGAACAGACTCTGGAGCTGCCATATAGTGACACCAATGGCCCAAGGGGACAAGCAAGCCCCTAAGCATCTCAACTTCAGTTTCTCTGGTTACAAAAATGACCAGTTCAGTCCTGGGCACCCTTGTGATCTTTTCCGCAACCTGGACCACAGTATTGGTGCTAAGTGGTAACTACTTTCATTTGATGTGAAGACACATCCTTCCCCACCACCACAATTTGGTTCTTTTGTTTAAGACAGGGTCTCATGAATTCCAGTATGGCCTTAGACTCATATGTAACTGAAGATGACTTTGAACTTCTGATCCCTCTGCCTCCACCTACCAAGTGCTAGAGTGACACATGTGTGTCACTATTCTTCATAGGTGTGTGTCACAGTATTGCTGTGCAATACTGGGGATCAAACCCAGACTCCTACATGCTAAGCAAATGCTCCCCCAGGCCCTGTAATTTGCCTCTCCATAGCAAAAAGCTTTGACTTGCTCTCCAACAGACTTAAGGCCATCTGAGGAAAGTCATCTGGTAGCATTTTCCTAATCTATGAAACACAGGGACAGGACTGGACTTCTGGGCCCCCTCTGGAGCTTGGAGCTCCATTGAGTACTGTCAGGGGAGCAGAAGTCTTAGAAGTCTTAGTGTCACATTGGGGTGGCAGGGCCACACACCCACTCCAGGTTACCCATCTCCTTACCGAGCAAAGGGGGGAGCCAGTTGACATTGGCTTCACAGTGCGAGTCTAAGAATGTGATGACGTCTCCGATAGCGGCTGAAGCCCCCAGCATGCGGGTCCTTATCAGGCCTTCTCGTTTTTTGGTCCGGAGAATCCTCACACTGGGGAAAAGGGCCATGTAGTCCTCCAGTGGCTTCTTCAGGTGCTCTGTGAGGAGACAAAGGGGCAGAGATGGGGCAGAGTGACTGTGTGAGACTCACTCCTTCACCCAACTCAGTTTGGACCCTGATTCCCAGTCCACTGCCTTGCAGGTCTCAGACGAGCCAAGACGGGCAGGACCAACATCTACAAATGGGGAAACTGAGGCTCACAGAGGTCCAGTGATGCTCCAGGGCTGGGACACAGCGAGGCTTCACCAGCAAAGGTGGGGACACAGGCAGCTCCTTATGCCTGTCTGGTGTCTATTCCCTCATTTACTCACAGAAACAACACTGTTGTTTCCCGAGGAGACTGACCTTCTTCTTATGTCCAACTTGGTTGGGTAGGCTGACTGCCTTCCCCTGGAGTAAGTGGGAGGGGCATGTGGCTCAGGCCTAGCCAATCACGGCACTCCATCCCTTGCGATTGGCTCAGGGATGGCCATGCAACTTGGGCAGGCGCTTTAGCTTAAGTCCTGGGTGGAAACAAGGTGAAGAGAAGGGATGCGGGGAGCTACCAAGGCTGCAGGCAGCCTGTAAACAAGACAGAGGGTGTGCTGGTTAGATTCAGCATCACCTAGGAGACACAGCTTCGGGTGTGTCTGTGAGGGAGTTTCCAGAGAGGGTTAAATGGAGGAAGGACCCACCCTGGGTGTGGGTGGCAGCATGAAAGAACGAACGCAGAGAGACACTGTGTTGATGACATTTCCATTCACCATTCCCCAAACACAAAGCAAACAGACTGCCCAATACATGACAGCTTCTCTTGTTTGTTCAGTCTACCATGGGCTGGATTTTTGTCCTATGCCTGTAAAAGTTGTCCTGCATAAGTATCGGAGATTTTCTTTCAGGCCAGTAAGGTGACTTATTGCACTTGCTACCAAGCCTGATGACCTGAGTTCAGTGCTTGGGACACACACGAAGGAAGGAAACACACTCCCTTAAGTTGTCCTTTGTATGCTGCCATTCCCCTCTCCCCATGCACACATAAAATAAATTATTTTTAAAGCACTTCACGTTCCTAGGCATTCTTCCATCTAAGTACTCACCATGTCTGACCATGACTAGCTTCCAAGGTCAGGCACAACTGGGTGAGTTCAAGGAGGCATGGCTGTAGACACAAGATGGTACTTTAAAGAATGTAATAAAAAAGGTTTGGGGAGATGGCTTGGTGGTTAAGAATACTTGCTGCTCTCGCAGAGGACCCTGATCAGTGACCAACTGCACCCACAGAGAGGCTCAAACCTGCATCAGGGTAACCAGTGCCCTCTTCTGGTCTCCAAGGGCACTGCATGTACATGGTCCATATACATACATTAGGCAAACATACCACAGTCAGCGATAGCTAATGCCCTTGAGTTAGGAAAGCTGTGTGTGTTCACTGCCCTCATTCCTTAGAACAGACTTTCCAGATGGTGCAACTGGTTAAAAAAAAAAAACAAAACAAAAAACCTAAAAGCACAAAGACCTGACTAAAAAGATAACAGTGTTGTTTGTAGCTGAAGATGGCACTAGCCTCCACCCAGAAAATCCATACATTCCCAGAGAAAATGGATTCAGGATACAGATCAGTATTTAAAAATCCATGGGATGTTGGTGTATAATTTAAAATGATAAAAAATACCATTCACATGTCTATAAAACAAGAGCAAGTATAAGTCTCAAAAATACAAATCATTAGCCAGGTGTGGTAGCGCACACCTTTGATCCCAGCACTTGGGGCAGAGACAGGGAGATCTTTGAGTTCAAGGCCAGCCTGATCTACAGTGAGTCCCAGGACAGCCAGGGCTGTTACACCAAGAAACCCTGTCTAGGAAAACAAAACACAATAAAATACAAAAAACGTGGTTGGGAAATTTGAAACACCAAGTCAGGTGGGAAGACATCTCTTGCTCAGGGACCAGGCGTGAAGACAGCCATGGTTCCTAGTGACACAAACTTAAAGCTGCTAAAATCACAGCGCCTTCTTTTCAGAGTTGACAGTCAACAAACTGCTCTGAAAATTTACATGGCCATGAAGGATCTAAAATAGTGGAGGTCTTTTAGAAAAGAAAATGTTGGGAGACTCTTGCTTCTTGTAGTAATTAAGACAGCATGAGGGCTGCAGATATGGCTCAGTGGGGAAAGTTGATTGCCACATGCCTGACAACCTGAGTTTGATTCTTGGGACCATGTGGTGGAAGAAAAGAACAGAGTCCCACAAGCTGTCTTCTGACTTTCACACATGGCACACTTGTGCCTCATATCACATATGCATACACACTGAACAATATGGGTGTAAGGATCCACCTGCCTCCATCCCCCAAGGTTGGGTTTACAAACACACACAGCCATGCTTGGGTTTTTACATGAGTGCTGGGGATGTGAACTCAGGTCCTCAATCTTGCACAGTAAGCACTCTTATCCACTGAGCCATCTGCACAGTCCCCATACTTGTTTTTTAAAGATATCTTTACATTAACCCACAAATGTGCAATTGGTACCATTTACAATTAACTGCGAATAAACAAAACATGTTGACAAATAAAAATGGAGTCAGGCTTAGCTTCTGTTTTAGTTTTGCCCTACCTAGAGGTAAACTGGAGGTCAGAACAGGTGATCTGCGAAGCTAGCAGAGGCTCTCCACTTGATGTACGGGGAGAAGTGAGAGGGCATTGGTAAGAGGTACATCCCCCTGCCGGGATCCTGTGGAACCATGAAGGTCACCCCAGGTACCGTTAACAACTGCTCTGGGGGTGGGGGTGGACTGTGGGTCATAGAGACTTAAGACTCCAGAAACCTCTTCCGGATGAAGGGTGCAGCAGGTCACGTTGCTTAGTATCATAAAGGTGGAGCAATTGAAAAATATACTGGGGAGAGATTTCCCCAGTATGCACTCCTGGTCCAGTTTGCACTCAGGCAATGAGGTGTGAACACAGAGAGGGAGGCATGGCCAAGCTCTGATGGGTAGTTGTTTCTGCAGAAACAGTCTCTCAAGGAAAGAGGAAACCCACAAGTCAGTGCTGCTTCTGGGCTGTGTTCAACCGGTGGGTCGTTAACTTGTGAGTGAGATTATGGGGCGCCACACACCAGTGCTCCTGTGGAGGGAGAAATATCACCACCACTGTGTAATCACTGAGGTCCTCATATGCACAGAGCCCCATCCCACTAAATCACCCTAATGCAGACGGTGGCAGTTGTTACTGATTGGCCAATTAGAGCCTTTCGACAGCTTGTGGTAAAGTTGGAGCGATTATTTAGGGGCAATTACTGGTCTCCTGTCCTTATGAGAAGGTGTGTTTACTCAAAGCAGGGCCACCTTATTTTACCATTCTCCTTGCACGGGGGGACAGCTCAGAAGGTCGCAGGATTTGGAACTAAAAGGAACTGCAAATGAGGACGGTGATGGTCACCATGGTGACAATTACAGGGACACCTGCTGAGCCTGACTCACACACAGGTCTCCCCACTTCACATGCATTACCTCAGACACCCACAGCTCTAGAGTATTAAGTGTTCCTGTTTGGAGAAGATACTAAGAGATGTAATTTGCTCAACAATTACAAGTTGGACACTGTGTCTACAGACTGATGTCACCTCTCCCCTGGTCCCTATACACACACCCCTCCACTCAGTTCTACCCCTTTTATTAAGGAGTGAGGAGGGCTCGAGAAGTTAGTGACTTTACCAGATTCACACAGTAGGTAAGCACGGCAGGGTCATCTCCCAGATCAGGACACAGGATTCCTTCCAATGTCAAAACTCCTTCCCCTGCCCACACCTGTCCCTTTGCCTGAGGCTTGCTGTGTGTGTCCACACTTGGGATGTGTGGAGTGCCGTCTCCATTGCCCCCTACTATGTGGGAGGATTGTGCACACATGCTAGCCAGTGAGGGATACAGTCATGTTTATTTCCTGCCTGTCCTGCCTGAGGCCCTGGCGCTTAAGGAGTCTACCGTGTGGAGAGGCTAGGGGAATTCATGAAGAAGGGCACTTTTAGCACCACAGTTCCCACCCCCTCCCAAGAATGCTTGCAGAGTGATCACATGACACTGGACTCCATATCACTCTAGGAGAGGCTGAATTGTCCCCTTGCACCCCCTTCAAGACCCACATTGGGGGGGACTGGACAGATGCCATTGGTCCTCAGGAAACTGAGCCTGTGGGGAGAAAGGTCTCACCCCAAGTTTCTCAGCTGATGAGGCCTGAGTGCAGGGGACTTGAGGCCACCCTCCGCCTTTCTCTCTCTCAATTTGGAGGATGGAAGGTTCCCTCCCTCCATCATGTGGGTTACAGCGACCACTGTTTGTTAGGTGCTGCGGCAGGCACTTTTACATGCTAAGCCATCTTGCTAGCCTCTTGCTGTTGGATTCTAGGGATGGGTCCTACAGGGAGCTGAGATTAGAAGGACCCCCTAGCATGACACATCCACTTCATTTTTGACATAAAGTCTTTCACAGAACCTGGAGCTTGCTGATTGGCTACACTAGCAAACACCCTACCAGCTGAGCCCATTCTCAGCCGTAGAAGCCTTTTTCTACCTCTGTGACTGGAGCAGTTGCCAGAGTCAGCACCCTTCAGCTCAGCTCAGCTCTCTGAACCAGGCTGTGTGGATTCTCTGTTCATCAGGTGTCCTTGAGCCCAGCATCAAGCCAGGCTTCTGCATGTCACTGCTGAATTATCTGTGGCTTCTTCTGGCTGCCGGTCAATGCCACTAGGGGAGTGTCCATAAAACATGGAGAAACTTCCTAGTACAATCAACATGCTAACACAATGAACATGTTAAGTGTCTGTTGCCTCCAAGCAGAAATGCACCAGGAATGAAGAGGTTCTGTTCTCTTTCCTTGGCTAGACACAGAGACAAGAAACAAGCATTCTCTAGCTGGTCCTCATGCCACCTGGAGGTGCCACAGTGTGCTTTTGTGTACTTGTGGACGTTCTAGGTCTTGTGATGTCCTGTCTCTGCTGGACTTTTCTGGTGTGGACCCTCATCTTTTTTTCTTTGTTTTTCAAGACAGGATTTCTCTGTGTA